ATCGAGCCCCTTCTTGGGCTCCCTGCTCAGCAGGAAGCCTGCTTCTTCCTCACACACTCTCTCTCTCTCTCTTGCTCTCGCTCTCAAATAAATAAATAAATAAATAATCTTAAAAAAAAGAGAGAGAGAGAATTAGCGTCTATGTAATGTTTTGCAGATCTTATCCCCCTTTTGCTTGTCTCCCCAACCTTTTTCTTAGTGCATGGCCCTTCGAGGGCCAGGCCTTATTCTGCACTTCCCGACGCACCGTGAATTTCCAGCCCCTGGAAATGAAGGACCTCCACGCAGCAGACTTGGTTATGGGGGTCTGTCCTTAAACCTCAGGGGTGTGCAGAGGGTTTTCTACTCCACCGAGCCTTCACAGCACTCCCCTATTATTCTAACAATATGCATTGATGTGCTTGATTCCCTGGCCACATTGGAAACTCCTCCAAGTGGGCTCTTAGGGCCCTGTATCCCCAGCATTTGGCACATGCCTGGCACAGAAGAGGCGTCAGCCAGTGCTCAAATGACCTGGCTTTTCATGGACATGATCTCCTCTGAACCTCATCGCCTTCCGGAGGGAGAAGACTTGTACTGACAACCCTCCCTGTTCAATAGACAAGGTAACAGGATGAGAAAACAACATATTTGTTGAAAATCTAAGTAGAGCCAGACCAGGAATCATTGCTTCTCTTTACCCTTCTTCCAGCAGCTGCAAGTCAGCTCTGCTCAGAGGCCCCAGCTTCTGGGTCTGAAAGCTGATACCAGTTCCAGCTCTTGGAGTTTGGAGTTAGGTGAGAGTGGTTGAGGACAGCTGCCAAGCCCTCAGCTCCCCAACCGCTGCTTCTCCCCAACTCTGGGCATTGTCCAACAGGGGCCCAAGCCCCCTCTCCTGCCTCTGGCAGTCCATTAACTTCTTGTTTTGGGAGCCAGGGGACCTAATAATTCATTGGATTATAGACTGGACATTCTATGCAGGGGGTTCTTTACTGGAAACCCAAGGCTTATGAGGTGCCTTCTACTCTGGATCAATACGTTTTCAATCCCCCCCCCCAAGTGCCCATCAGAGCTGAGCTGGTGCTGGCTTGGCAGATGGAGAAAGAGGGAAAGGGATGTCTTTTGCAGGCTTGAGCAGATCCTGGCTCCTCTCCCCTACCCCCACACATACCCCAAAGGCCAACAGGGGTCAGAGTTCACATATCCAGGGAGAGGTGGGAGGCAGCCACAACAGCAAAAGAGTCCTGGGGAGAGGGGGAAATTCTCCAGTTGTCTGGGATCAGTTGCTGCCCTGGGCGGGGGGGTACTTCATAGCTCCCCCCTGCCCTTTAGGTCCTCCCCTGGGGAGAAGTGTTAAGATTAGGGATAGGCATTAGAGCTTAGGAAGGGGTTAGTGCTTGTCTGAAGTTAGGGTTAAGGCTAAGGTTAGACCTAGACCTAGGGTTGGGGAGAGGATTAGGGTTAGAGATAAGGTTTAGGGTGTGGGTGCGCTTAGTACTCCTGCCCTCTCTGGTGAATGTGCACATGGAGGTATCTGTATTACTGGTAACAGTCCTCTTTCAGGCTTTTTATGGGAATGGCTAACTTAATGGTTCTGTTATGGACCACACTTGGGTTTCCTTTTGGTTACATGGGTTTAAGCCCTAGCTTCTGTTTGGATTCTTGGCCCTCCTGCTCCCTTCTGCTCCCCGATCATCATCTCTGAGCTTTTGGGTTCAGAACTAGAGCCCATCATGTGACCTGGATCCTCTTGAGCCCAAGGTTGGGAGCTGGGGTCTAATAAGGTGTTTCCTTCTCTTGGGGAGGGAAGTACCTTCCCCACTGCCCCATGCCCTGACCACAGATGAAGCAGATAGGCTTCAGGGACCAAACACTATACAGCAGCACCCTTTCTGCTTGGATTTCTCTTTCTTTGGTTTCTTTTCACAACACGGTCATAGCTATCAATCAGTTGTGGCTATTTTCACAACTCCTGATAGGAAAGACAGGCTCAGAATTTGCTTGTTTGTTTGATCCCCATTTAGCGAGGTAAGAAACTGAGGCTGTTTGGACATGCCCATTATCACACAGCCAGTCCGTGTTTGAATAGGAAGAAGAATCCTACAGAGTCTCTTGGCTCCTGACAAGGTTCTTCTGGAGACCTGGTCCCCCAATGGCCTCATTAAGGTCATCCAAGGGTCAGAATCCCAGGGTCCTCTTGCAGGGCTATGACAGTAGTCCCCCAACAAGGGATCCTATTTGTTTAAGAGAGGTAAGCCATGCCGTGTTCTGGATTCAAGGAAAAGCCACCAAGTCATTGATAAAAATAGAGATTTTATTTTGCAGAGGAAGATACTACATTGGTGGGGGCGAGGAGCCACTAATAGCTACAATGGAAGGAAATACTCATTCTGGTAGGCAACAGCATCTTTGAGAAATTGGGGAGAGGGAAAGAGGGATCAAAAAAATGCTGGAGAGCAAAAGGGGAGAAGAAGGGAGAGGAACTGAATTGGGGTGGGTGGAAGTGGTCTCTGCAAGCCAGGCTGGAACCCAGCATAATAAATAGTTTTATTTACAACAACCAAACTCGTGGCTTTGTATCCACGATTCAGTGCAAATTATTTACACACTGATGAGGAGGCAGGACAGGAAGGGGTAGGAGGTGGCCGAGGGAGGCATGGCTCACAGCTGTTCAATGGCTCCATGATAGAGGCTGGGAGAATTGGGGGTATTTCTGCTGGGCTCCCCAACCTCATTTTCCACATCACCACAGCTGCCCTCTCACCCTGGCCCCTCCTGGTTCAGCTGTAGGCGGGGAGGAGAAAGGCCCTGATGCCCAGGTGTGTGTTCAGGGTCTGGGCCCTTGGCAGGAGAATGGGAAGGGCACGATGGGCCCTGGAGAAAAACTGAGGTTAAAGGGGAGATGGAGAGAGGCAAGGAGGTCACTGGCCCGGTGGGGGAGGCCCAGTGGGGCCGTCAGAAGCTGACCCCCACAGGGGAGGAAACAGAATCCTTCTCTCTCCTCCTGGCCAAGCAGAGGGCAGTGCAACAAGGGGTCTCCCGGGAGAGGGAGGGAGGTAGGTCCGGGGCAGGTCCGTCAGGATGGCAAGAGGGTTCGTGCCCGCCCAGGCAAGTGGTTTCAGGAGTCCCCAGGTAGGAGGAGGTGGGGGAAATGATCGCCCACGTAGGAATCCCCGGGAGTGCGGCTGGAGGGACCGGGAGGGTGCGAAGTGTGGGGGAGGTGTTCTGTTCCGAGGCGGAGGCGGGCGAGAGGACAGCGCTCTTGGGCGAGTCCGCGCGGCGGTTCACAGACACTCGTGCAGTACGCGCGTGTGCGTGCAGTTGCGGCAGCTGACGTGGCAGCACCAGTGAAAGGTGCAGTTGCAGCGCTCCGTGACGCTCTGTGTGCGCGTGCGGTGGCCCCGGCCACAACAGAGCAACTCGCAACCGTCCAGCGCGGGCGACGAGCTGTTGCAGGCGCGCCCCGCCGTGCCCGCTGTCCCCAGGCGTCCGCTGTACGTGCAGAAATTGGGCGATTTCTCAAAGTAGACGAGGTCATGGGGGGAGGGCGGCTTGTGCGCGGGGTCTTCGGGCTCCAGGCGCAGCAGCTCTGCCCGCGAGGCGCGGTTGCTGCCGCGGTTGCCGTAGAGTACGCGCGAGGCGCCATCGAATCTGTCGCGTAGCACGTCGCCCACCGCGCGCAGCGTGGGCAGCCGCATCCAGCACGTGCGCACTGTGCACGAGCCCGACATCCCGTGGCACTTGCACTCCTGGCGCATCTCGGAGAACACGGTCTGGGAGGAAAGGGGAAGAAAGTGGGTCCCACGGCACTGTCACAGCCAGAGCCACCATCCCAGATACTGTCCCCTCCCGGACCCTGCCAGGACCTCCTCAAGCGCGGAAGGGAGGAAGGGAAAGAGAGGCGTGAAATCGTCGCGCCGAGATTTGGACACCAGGCCCAATTCCACGCTCCACGCCGGACGTGGTCCCGGCCTCCAAGCCTCGTTTTTATTCAATTATTAACCCGGAGGGGCTATAGGCAATACATTCCACGGGCTGCCTGACTTCTAACCTCTTCAGATCTACCTGCCCTGCGCCACTCTCTTCCATTCTCTGCCTTCCCTTCGAAACCTCCGCACCCTCTGAACGTCCTCTCCTGGTTCCCTGCCCTGACGCCTGGCGGTATCACCCACCGTTACTGCCCAGATTCGAGGTCAGCCCCTGCTCAGGGACTGGGAGATCCCCGCCACTGCGCTTCCGGACAGAACCCCTGAAGCCCGCTCACCGTGCGGCCCGCCTCGTTGTTGTGAAGGTTCATGAGGAAGCGCAGGTCCCGCCCCTTCTCCCCGGAGTCCACAAACTCCCTGCCGAAGAGGCGGCCGAAGTCGATGTTGTCGCTGCAGCCCCCCCAGTGCCAATCGGGGCCCCCAGGACCCCTCCGCCGGTAGTCGCACGTGCAAGACTCGATGGAGCCCTCCGAGCAGGAGCGTGCCACTGAATGCGTAACCCCCGCGGAGGTGATGGCGAAGATAAACGCCGTTTCCCGACAGCCTGTGAGGGAAGGGAGCGGGGATGAGCGAGAAGGTAACGCGAGGGGAGTCGGGGGGAGGGGGTGGGGGCGGGGGGCGGCCAGCCTTCTCAATGGAGGGTTCGGGACCCTTGAGGCCGGTGCCCCGACTCCGCCCTTGGAGTCCCGAGAACCAGGCGGCGCGCTGCGCTGGGAAGCTGGGCTCCTAGAGAAAGCACGTGCGTGGGCACGCAACCCTGACCACGCTTGTGATCACGCGCTCCTGAGACTCTGAGACTTGGGGCGCGCTTGGCTCCTCAGTGGAAGTGGGGCAGCTCCAGAAAGAAAAACCGAGAAGAGGAGAGAGGACGAACTCTGCACTGTCAAGACCTCTCTCCGTAGCCCAGACTTTCGGCCCCGTGTTAGCGATGCGAGCGTTGCTGGACTTGGAGGCGAGACGCTCTGGCAGAGATCAGCTTCCCGGGCGCCTTTCAGAGGGGCCGCGAAAGTGGGGGCCAGCCAGCGTCCACGACTTAGAACCCGCTTCTACTTGGGCGGTGGCGCAGGAAAGTTCAGCTTCGCGCGCGAGGTGCACCGCTGGGAAACGCCTGGCAGAACGAGTCTGGCCCAGAGCTGGCGCTGGGCATGAAGCTCTTGGCGGGTTGATCTTGTAACCCTGTGGGCGCCCGGGACATCTTCCCTACACTCGCCCGCCCCTGCCCTGTGGGTGACCCTGCGTTCCCCTGGTCCCGGAAGCGTCGCTTTCCTGGGTACCCACCTCGGTTGACGATCTTGCCGAAGAGGTGGGGCCCCGGAGCCGTGGGGCAGTTCCAGCGGCGGTTGCGGAACTGCCACTTGCACTCCCGCACAGCGCTCTGCAGCCCCCCGCTCACGCTGTGCAGGATCCCCGGGTTCTGGCGGATCAGCCGCCGCTGTTTGCGGCTCAGCAGCTGAAGACTGGGCTCCAGCACCAGTTGTAGACTCTTGGAGTCGGTTAGCAGGTTCGTGGAGGAGGCTACGTTCACGATGCCCCTGGTGAGGTGCATGGTAGGAGCTCAAGCTCTGGAAGGGGACTTGCCCCCTAAGCAAAAAAGTCGCGTCTACCCTGTCCTCTTCCTGGGGCTATTTGCCTGGGAGAACCACAGGACATCAGCGATGAGGTAAAGACTCCGGGCTCCCTGGCTCACTAGTTTGAAAGGAATGGGCGTCCCTAGTTTTGCGCGGGACCACTGGGGGCCCTGGCTCTGGGGACTGGACAGAGGAGGCATGGGAAACCTGAAGACCAGGTGTTCACCTTGGCTCTGAGGGACGGCTTCAGGGCAGCTTGGGGAGGGAATCCTGGCCTGGAGTCCATGCCCACCCAAGGCTGGCCATGCTTAGGAGTCCCACCCTTTTCATCTCTCTGAGCACGGGCCTGGCCCTTCGCTGCCGGAGGAGGCAGGGGAACCTGTGGTGTGGCTACCACCATGAGGCTGGTCTGGGGCTCACGGATGAAGGGCGGTGCTAGATGGGAGTGGGCTCCCTGCCTGGAGAACCGTGGGCCGCGGCGGGCGGACCATTCTCCCACCTCATCAGAACTAGATTCTCTGGAGCAGCTGCGCTCCAGAGCGCCCCTCGGTGTCTCGGAAGCAAGTCAGTGCGGTGGAGGGAGCCTGTCTGCGGACGGATCCCAGAGCGTGGGAGCTGACTGGGGCTGGCCCCTGGCTCTGCGCCCCGGGACAAGTGGCGACCCCGCACCAGCTCACTTACCACCATCGGCCACTGCTGTTGGCGGCCAGGGCTGCAGGCAGAGCGGCCAGCGCCAGCAACAGCGTAGCAGAAAACCAGCCGGGCAGCTGCGCCCAGTGCCCCATGGCCTGCCCGGCCTCGCCGCCTCTGTGCTGAAGTTGGGGCGGCTTTGGCTGCTGCCCGCGACGGTGGGACGGGACGCGGCGGTGGCGGCAGTGGCGAGAGTTCGCAGTCTGGCTCTAACAGCCCTGGGGGCGGGCGGCGGGCAGCATGGCTCGCGGTCCCAGCTGGTGGGCTGAGGCAGCCACGGCGGGCGGCACCGCCTCTTATAGTTGCGGCTCTGGCTGAAGTGACGATAGGAGGCTGCCCCGCCGGGCCACACTGTGGCACCAGGGCGCACCGGTCAGGGGCGCAGACAATGGGCAGCGAGCGGGGCCGTGGCTCCCGCCCGTCTGAGCCGAGAGCTGACGGGCTGGCCGTCGGGGCTCACCCCCGCCCCCTGCCCGGTGGCTCCCGCCTCCCTGCCTGCACTGGCCTCCGACCCCTCCCCTTGGGACGCCCTCCCACGCGCGCCCGCCTCACTCCTCTTCGCGTCCGGAGCCCGTCGGGGACCAGCGTCCGCCAGGGGGCGAGGCGATAGTATGCTACGGGGAGAGTCTGCCGGCAGCGCAGCCGCTTCGCCACCGCCGGCCGTGGGGTCCCTCGACGTCAGCCCGGCCCCACTGGCGTCCCATCTCTCCCCACTCCTGAGTAGAGGAAGGAAAGGAAAGCTGTCGTTCCGGGCAGCGACTCCCGGGAGACGCCTCCTTCCCAGGAACCCCCCCCTCAGACCCCGCCCCGACGGCTTGACAGGGAAGGATCAGCGGGAGCCTGAGGGTGCCGCTGGGGTCGTGAAATCCCAGGGGGTGCGTGGGTTGGGGGTAAGTTCACTAAACAGAGCCTGCTGTGGAGAGAAACCGGGGACAGTGGCAGTTTGTTTGTGGGCTGGAAGGCATGCACAAGTGACTCTGTGTGTGTGTGTGTGTGTGTGTGTGTGTTGTGTCTGTGTGTGTGTGTTTAAGTGGCACAATGCAAACGTGAATGCGTATGAGAATGTGTGAATGTGTCGTGAGGGTGCACACCCATGTGTGTCCTCATGTAAGGAAACTCCTTGTTCTGAGGAGGAGGGATGTTAGGGACCTTTTCAAGGAATCTTGGAATTTAGCTCAGGTCAGAAGGGATCAATCGATCGAGTCATCTTGTTGCAGTCACCACCTGGGACAGTGCATCATCTATTTGTGGGGAAGGAGGTGGCAGCCACTGTCAGGAAAGACCCAGATGATTGACTGAGGCATAGAGTGTCTGGAACTGTGTGTGGAGGTGGGTGGATGGGTGGATGAGTGTGTGTGCGTGGGGAGATTAAATATGCATATCTGTGTCACTCTCGCCATGTATACCTTGTGTCATCCTATGGTGCGTCACCCTCAGTATGTGTCAACCTGTGCATGTCACTAGGGGAGGGGCCTGAGCCTGCAACCAAGGCAGCATCAAGATAGAAAAGGCCCATGGGGCGCCTGGGTGGCTCAGTGGGTTAAAGCCTCTGCCTTCAGCTCAGGTCATGATCCCAGGGTCCTCGGATCCAGCCCCACATCGGGCTCTCTGCTCCGCGGGGAGCCTGCTTTCTCCTCTCTCTCTGCCTGCTTGTGATCTCTGTCTGTCAAATAAATAAATAAAATCTTAAAAAAAAAAAAAAGATAGGAAAGGCCCGGAGTGGCTGAGTCTCTGAGGATTAGGCTCAGGAAGGGCAGTGGAATAGATGACAGGTGCATGTAGGGGTGCAGGAGGGAGGGCTGGGAAGAGAAGAGCTGCTGGCTGAACTGAGCCCAGAATAGAGAACTTATGCCTCCACATGACTGCTTCTTTTTGGATTTTTCTGTCAAATTTCCATCTTCCTCCAAAACCTCTGGCTCTTTCCACTCTTACTACATTGAGATACCCAAAATGCTTGTAAGGGTCTCCTCCATTATATGCTTTTCTCTTTTCTCCCTGGGACTCCAACTCAGTTTCAAGGCTACCTTGGCCTCCTATTAAGGATGTGGCAGCTGTTCCCTCTGTGGGGCATAGCGAGCACTGCCAGCCTGGTCATCATGCCCCAGCAGCACACACACATGGCCCCTGGAAGGAGGGAAGATCTCCTTTATGTCTCTCCCTTCTCTCACTTTACAGAGGAAAAAGTAGATTAAGAAATTGTTTAAGGTCCACACAGCTAATAAATGACCAAATGGGGACACTTGGATGGATCAGTCGGTGGAGCATGCGACTCTTGACCTTGGGATTGTAAGTTGGAGCCCCCCCATAGGGTGTAGAGATAACTTAAAAGTAAAATCTTTAGAAAATGAATACATGGCAGGGGGAACTTGGGTGGCTCAGTTGGTTAAGCATCTTGATTTCTGCTCAGATCATGATCTCAGGGTCCTGAGATCGAGCCCTGTGTGGGCTTCACATGCAGTGGGGAGTCTGCTTCTCCTCCTCTCCTTCTCCTTCTCCTTCTGCCCCTCTCCCTGTGTGCATGCTCTCTCTCTAAAATAAATAAATACATCTTTTTCTTAAAAAATGAATAAACGGTAGAGTTAGAATTAAACCCAGATCATTTTGACTCAAAACCCACGTTCTTTCCACCTTACAAGCTATTTCTGAGTGTGCAGCAATAATAAAGGGCCTTTCTCCTATTGACATTGACAGATAAATAAAAATGATCTTTAGGATTTTTCTGTCTCCCTTTTGGATCTTCTCTTTTTCATCTCCCCTGCCTTCAGGGTACTTTCTAAATGAGGATGTACCCAGTTCTGATCCTAAAAAAGTTCCAAGTCTCAGAATTTCCCCTTCAAGGTGGGGAAGTCACTCTAAGGAGTACATGTCTGATGAGTTTAAGTAATCTTCCTGGGGCAATTCTATTTTAGATGAGATGCTGATTAGCCCAGATGGAGGCTGAGGGAGGTTATTTTTGAGGGCAACATCCTTCCCAGTCCTATTGCCCCATCCACTGTACCTGGCCCCTCCAAGATTTCAACCCTGAAGGACAAGGTGTACTGGTCCAGCATCCTCCTCAGGTCCAAAAGCCAGTAATCTCTCCAGAGGGCACCCTGGAGAGGGTACAAGATGGCTCAAGTAAATAGACAATGATGGGTAGCTTCTCCTTTGTCCCTTAGCAGTTTATTCCCACTGGGGCCTGGGGCATGTCTTTTTAGCCTATGGATTGATAAAACCCCCTAGAGGTTGGAGATGCACTAGAAGACAGGAAGTCCCATCTGTGGCCATTGGTGACAGAAAAGAAAGAAAGAAAGGAAGGAAGGAAGGAAGAGAGAAAGAAAGAAAAGAGCCAGCTAGTATCCTCTGTTTTACCATTCCACCCACCAGGAGTAGTGGGGAAGAGCGGGAGGGGAAGTCTCTAAGTCTGGGTCACACTGTGAGTGACCTGGCCCAAATTTCTATTTAGATCAAATCATCACTCTGTTGTCTTTCCTGTTTCTTTCCTGCATCTTCATTTTACCTCTGTAGCAGATCATACCTATCAGCATGCCAAGTGCTGTAATATTTCCCATCTAAAACTGCTGAAGTTTCATTTGACTCCACATTACCTCCCAGGATTGCCCCATTTCTCTGCTCTCTTTTACAGCAAAGCTCAAAAGGGTTGCTTTAATCACTAGCACTAATTTCTTTTCTTTATTCTCTCTTTCCACCCTGATCACATCTTTAAACCTGCTACACCTCCTTATCAAAATCATCCATGACCTCTGGAATGCTCTACAGTCAATTCTTAGTTTTCAGCCTAATCAACTTTCCAGGAACAGCCTGGAATCAAACCCGTCCTCCTTCTTTCTCACTTGGGTTCTAGAACACCATTCCTACCTCCCTAGCTGCTCACCATCTCAGTCTCCTTATCTGGTTCCACCCTGTATACCAATTTCTAAGCTTCAGAATGTTCCCCAATTCAATCTGGACTTTCTTCTCAATCTATACTCACTCTCTTGGTGAACTATCCAGTCTCACAATCTACACTCATTCTCTTGGTGAACTATTCAGTCTCACGCTCCCTAATTTATACATCTGGCCCTGAACTTCTGGACTTGCACATCTAACACTTGAATAAGCATCTCAAAATGTACAAGGTCAAAACTCGAATGCCTGGTTCTTCCCCCATCCTAACCTGCTCTTTCTTTGGTCGTCCCATTTCAGTAAATGGCACCTCCATCCTTTTGGTTTCTCAGGACAAGAACCTTAGAGTCATCTTTGATGAATCTGTTCTCTAGTACTTCATGTCAAGTTCATGGACATATCCTGTCCTTCCGTATTTAAAATATGTGCAAACTTGGACCCATTCCTACCCTTGGGCAAAGCCACCATCCCCTCTCTCTTGTACTACTGCACTAGCCTCATGGCAGCGCTCCCTGCTCCTACCTTTGCCCTCCACACTCTCTTCTCCACAGAGCAGCCAGAGCTATGCTTTCTAAAACCCAAGTCAGATTGCTTCATTGCTCTGCTCAGAATTTTCCAGTGATTCCCCATCTCAGTCAAAGAAAAAAGGTGAGCTTTTTACAGTGACCTATGGCCATCTATGATCTGACCCTACTTCTTCCTCGTCCTCTAACTTCACTGCCTGCACTCTCTCCCCTGTGGGTTCATCCCTTTGGCCACACTGGCCTACTTGCTGATTCCCTGAACATACCAAGCAAGTTCCTGTCTTGGGATCCTTGCATCTGCTTTTCTGTGTTCTGGAAGACCCTTCCTCAGATAGCTCCATGGAATGGTTCCCTCACTTTCTTTGTCATTCCCCCTATATAAAATGGAATCCTGCTACCTGTCTCCTTTACCTTGCTCTATTTTTCTACCACTTTTGACCACGGAGAACTTTAAAGGCTCAAAGTAGAAAATCAGTAGCAAACCACCTCTCTGGAATGGGAACAGGAGCAAGATGTCGGAGGGGAAAGGGGCTTTACCTTGTTGTTGGGAGTGTGAGAGGGAGTCAGGGAACCAGGGCTGAGAATCTGTGGCAGAGGGGCCTACCTTCCTTTGAAGCACCAGCAGGCGGCACTGCCTCCTCGTGCTGGGAAGGCATCAGCCTCTGGTAGAGAAGGGGGCCAAGTTCTGTCTATGGTAATCCCACAGATTTGTTGGGGCTAACTGTTCAACTGTTGGGGGTTTCCCCAGGGAGTCCAGTGCAGTGGGGCTGCGGACTCTTTGGTGCCTCCCGGTGGTGGCCCACGGTGCTGCAGCAGAAGGCGTGAGAGGCGGAGGGTGGGCAGTGCAGCTGAGCTCACCGCTGAGGGCGCATCCATCCCTCCCGGGCCTATAATTTGGGTTCCCCAAGCTTGGCCGCCCCTATCAGCGGCTCAGCAATAGATGAGTCAGCCGGGACCCCGGGCCAAGGCAAACATGAGGGGAGGAGGAGGCTTCCGAGCTTTCGCTCTGCTCTCGTAGCCGCCTCAGTTGCTCTATTCCCCCAATCTCCCAGGGCCCCCACTCTTTTCTTTGACCCCCGCCCTCCAGGGCCCCAGTGTTCTTCCCAGATTGTTCTTGCTACATCCCCATGGTGGGAAAGCAGCCTCCAATCTTCTCAATGAGGGGAAGGGGACCAGCTTGCTCCCACTCCCACCCCAAAGTAATGACAGCCCCTCACTTTCCCCCTCCTGTCATGGCCCCAACCCCTGTCAAGGTCTCTCTGGTTCCCGCCCCTCCCCTTTCCTGGAGCTGGCCGCGTGCTTGGGGTATTAGGCAATGGGTGTGTACCCACAGCCCTCTCCAGACCCCGCCTGCTCCACCACCCTCCAGCCGCCTGCGGGTCAGTGCTCAGGCCAGCCGGTCGGGCCAAGGGCACTGGGGGCCAGTTCAGGCCACCCAGTCTGCCTGCCTGTGGCCTCCTGTCCCAGAGCTGGGCTTTTGCATGGAGAGGGAACAGGAGTGTGGGTCCTTGGATTTGGGACAGACCAGCCTGGGGAGCTCGGGAGCCACAGAGAAGTTGGAGTCTAGGGTAATTGTTCTGACCTTGGGTCTTCCTTGACACCTGACTGTTCTATAGCCTGACAAGGGTAGAATCAGAAGTAACAATCAGAAACCTGAGAGAAATACAAAAAAGCAGAGACCTGGAAAAATACAAATGCCCATGGGAGAAGAGAGGCATAGGAAACCTTATCCCCTTCCTCTGGGGAACTGAGAGGAGTCCCAGGCTGACATGCAGGAAGGAGGACAAGGTCACTGAATCCAGGTGTAAAGATGAAAGCTATTGAGATAGAGTTTGCAGATTCTGGTGGCCTCAAAAGCCACACATGGTGTGGGTCGTGGCATCTGAACAGGAAGGAGAGGCAGGAGTTCTAGGGCTATTTCTCTTCATCCCCTGCCCCCAGAGGTGAGAAAGCAAAGAATAGCAACCAGAGCTGTCCAGCGTTAGGAACCATGGCACTTTTTTACCTCCCAGCCCGCTGGAGACCTGGTGCATAAAGGTGATCAATAAATAATATGACCACGGATGAAAGTCACTGATCTCGGGTTGCTCTGCCCCCTAGACAGCAGCACCCCCTGCAGCACAGGGCAGGCCCTGCAGCAGCATAGGCCAGAGGCTGACTGCCCCCAGAAGAGCTGCAAGGCCACCACCAAGGAAGAGATGACTGTGGCTGTGGGTTTCGGGCCCCGTGGCTCTGCTTCCCCAGGGGGCCTGTCTCTGAGTCAACGTGCCAGCTTTGGGCGCGCGGGGCCAGTCGTGCCTTGGGCTGCGGTCTGGCAGGGGCGGGGGGCGGCTGGGAAGCCTGGGGCCCCTCTCTGGCAAAAATAGCCCGCAGTGGTTAGAGCTGGGAGGGTGAGTCAGGCAGGAGCGCAGTGGCGCCTAACCCCTTCACTGCCACTGGAGCTCCCTAAGGTGGTTTGCTCTGGTCTGTGCACCCCTAGATCAGACACTTTCCCTGGCTGTCCTCAGGCTGGGCTCAGTCTGGGATCCCAAGGCCCTCCTCGTTCCATGTGAAGCAAGTCTGAAAGCCTGGAGCAAGAATCTGGGCCACTCCTAGTGCAGAGCTGGGATCTCGGGATGGGGCAGGAGAACTCTCTGGTCAAGGATGCCTATAAGCCAAGGGAAGCATAGGAGAAAGCTGGAGATCTTTGGGGCTACCCGAGCATCTGCTAGGACCGAACTCTGAGGCCAAGTCTGACCCCTCCCAAGGGGCAGGCGCAGAGCTCAGAGGTGGGTGGAGGCCAAGCCACCCAGAAGGGATCTTTTCCTGCTGGCTCTGAGTGCCCTGAGGCGCGTTCTGTCGCTAAGGGCTCTTCCCAACATTGTCCAGGGAGGGAAGCTGATTCCCTGCTCCGTGTTCATCTTGTCAGAGGCACTCACCAGCCATCCAGCTCTCGGTGGGGAAACTGAGGCAAAGAGAAATGGCCACGTGGGACCAGGGTCCTGTCTCCCTAGTCTGGGTCACTGCACCGTCCTTGCAGACTTGGCTACCCAGAGCAGGTGAGAGGCACTCTGGTCACCACCCCCTTCAGTGGGGCCAAGCGTGAACCCAGGCGTCGGGGGAGAGGGTGTGTGTGTAGGCTGGGAGGAGGGGGAGCGCCTGCGCTCCCCGGGTCAAGGCGGGGGGTGCGAGGAGTGGGGTGGGGATGCCCGGGGCTTGGGGAGGGGCCGCAGCTCTGTCAGCCACAGCAGAGCTGCCTCTGAGCTCGGCACGAGTTGAGTAGAGCCGGAGCCCCCAGTTCCTTGCTAGACCACTCGCTAGCTTTCTCGATCACTCCCTCCCTTCCTCCCTCCCTTCCTCCCGGCGGCTGCGGCGGCGCTGGGGAAGCAGCGAAGAGGAGTGGCCCTGCCCTGGAAGAATGCGGCTCTGCCGAAGGAGCAGAACCCGACGCAGTCTCCCCACGGTTTGAGAAGCCCGAGCACAGGCGACCCAACCTTGCCGGTAGTCACCTCGCACCAGAGCAGCAGGTAATCGGAGCTGGGAAAGCAGGGAGGGCAGGGACATGCACACGGGGCGAGACAGGCACACGGATAGTCAGATAGTCAGACAGACAGACAGACAGACACGCATCCGCCCACTGGGGCACGGAGACACAGAGAGAGCCAGGTATATTGGCAGAGATAAAGACAGCAAATAAAGGAATATCCCCAGATCAGAAAGGCATTGAACGAGGGAGTAAATGGGTGGGGGAACGAGCCTGGGACCCGAGGGGACCAGACGGGCATTGCGGACGAGGGAAACACTAGTTAGGAAAGGTGGACGAGGAGGAAGAGGACTCAGCCTGTGCCGCGGTCCTTTTCAGGCGGGAACCAGGTCTCCTCCCTGTCTGGCGCACCTGGAGACTCCCCTCTCTCCCGACTGTGGAAAAAGTGGGTAGAGCAGGATTGGGAACCCATTCCTCCACCCCTCTCACCAACGCTGCCTGCCCTCGACGGCAGCTGAAGGTGACCCTCCCCCACACCCCGCCATCTGTAGGTGGTGCAGAACCTCGTTCTAATCCCGCCCCCCCAATCCCGCCCCCTAGCCCTGAGAGCGTCGCTCTGTTGGGTGAGGGAAGCCAGTCGTGGGGCCCTCAAAGAGGGAGTGGTGGCAAGATGGTGGAGTGGTGTTTGTGAGTCAGTTATGTCTGAGTTTGCACTTCAGTGTGTCTGTGTGCCGGGCATTGTGTCTGGCTGGGTCCAGCTCCAGTGGCTCTTGACTGAGCTCCAGCTGCGACAACCAGACTCTTCCTCCAGGGTCCAGAGTCAGGGGTGATTCTTCTTGTTTTGCTTGGGGAGGGATGAGAAGGGTTCCTAGAGCGCACTGGTGAGTTAGGAATCCTTGGTTACCCCGGGGTCAGCCCACCCTATTCCGAAGCCCCCAAGTGTCCCTGTCCCGCAGGCCCTGATCGATCTGCCCACCGGGGCCTTCGGGCCCGGGCTTCGACATGCTGGAGGAGCCCCGGCCGCGGCCTCCGCCCTCGGGCTTCGCGGGTCTCCTGTTCCTGGCGTTGTGCAGTCGGTGAGCAGATCCCCCCTGTCGCCCTGGCCACGAAAAAAAGCCGGAGGCTGAAAGCACCGACCTAGGACGGGAGGAGTCGGAGGGGGCGCGAGGCCCGGACCACAGACCCCCGAAACGCCTTCTGCGTTCCCAGGGCCCTCAGCAATGAGATTCTGGGCCTGAAGCTGCCCGGCGAGCCGCCGCTGACCGCCAACACCGTGTGCTTGACGCTGTCGGGCCTGAGCAAGCGGCAGCTGGGCCTCTGCCTGCGCAGCCCCGACGTGACGGCATCCGCGCTTCAGGGCCTGCACATCGCGGTCCACGAGTGTCAGCACCAGCTGCGCGACCAGCGTTGGAACTGCTCCGCGCTCGAGGGCGGCGGCCGCCTGCCGCACCACAGCGCCATCCTCAAGCGCGGTGAGCGGGGCCGGCGGGTCTGCGCCGCTGGGGCCGGGGGTGGGGGCCAGGCCGAGGCGAGCGGAGGCGGGAAGGGACCGGTTCACGACTCCAGGAGAGGCCTCTCTCCGGGAATTCCCCCCCCCCACACACACACACCCGGGAGCCACAGAGTGGGCCTGGCCACCCGTCTGGGTCCCTGCGCCTCACTTCCACCTGCGTGCTGCCGGCAAGGCAGCTGGGTCGCTGTTCTTCTACCCTAGGGCCCCCCTTTCCTTTCTCCACCGGGCTCGATCTGGGTTGCACCTGCGAGCCAGAGATGCCCCCAGCCCTGGAAGCTTCAAACATCCCCCCCATTCCCTCCCCCAATTTCCTCCCCCCTCCCTCTCCTTGGACAAGCCCAGGCTGGTGTCCCCAGAGCCTCAGCGGGGGTGGGGTGACGCCCCCAACCGTTTAAGGGTTAAACCTACTCCCCTAATTGCTGGGGTTCCCAGGAGCAGAGGCTGGGAACAAAGACCCTGATGGCTTTGAAGCCGGGGAGCAGCCCCCTCCTCTGTGCTGTGGGAGCCCCAGGTGGCTCTCACCTGAGCAGGTGAGGAACGGCTGGAGGGGCAAAGAACAGGTCACTGCTGGTCTGGTCTGGGAGGTATGGTCTGGAAGGCATCGTTGCCTCTTGCCAGGCCATGCCTGTGTTTCCTCCCTGGAGGAGTAAAGATCCATTCTGGGCTCGGCTAGAGGGTGGGGGCAGTACTTCAGGGACTACGGGGTTAATAGGCAGCTGCCATCTGCGGGGGAATTCCCAAGACATGTGCAAACAGCTTCACCCCTGGAGGGTTGAGGTTGGGGGGGATTGGGAGGCTGGGCCAAAAACCCTGCATCCTGGGGTGGGAGAGGCCCGGCCCCTAAGGAGGTGCCGTGTCTCATCCTCTCAGGGCTCAAGAAAGCCCCTACCTAAAAGGAAGTAAGGGACCCCCCCAAATGAGAAGCATGGGAAAAGCTTGTCATCTTGAGCCTCTGTGACCCCCAAAACATAACAAAGATGCCAACATTTTAAGAGGGCCTCAGGGAAAATCACCCCGCACCCATCTCGCCCCCCCCCAGCATTTTATAGAGTAATATAGCAGGTTAGAATAAACATAAAGGGCAGTCTTAAAGGGCAAATAGAAAACCAGAAACTGGAAAGGGGAAGGATAGTGCCATAGCTCCAGTGCTTTGGGGTTTTGGGGTGGTGGAGCAAGGTTTGTTAAAGGGCCCTAAAAAAAAAAAAAAACCTGAAAGTTTCTGCTTCCACCCCACCACCCAAGCTCCCTGCTGGGCTGGGGAATTTTTAAAGCTTTCAGATGTAGAACTCAGCAATCACTTCTTCAAAGACCTCGGGGACTCCCTCTCAGTCACCTGCCAACCCCAGGGCTCTTGCCCTCCAGCTAGTTCTTTCATCTGCACCCGAAAATCCCAGACTTACAGAACGAGGATGGGGCTCAGAGATCAATCTCAGCCAGCCCCTCCCTTAATAAGTGAGGAAACTGAGGCTCAGAGCTTCCGCTCCCTTCCTTCTCTGTGACTTTCTCCCAAATTATGCAGCTGGTAAATGACAGGGTCAGGATTCAGTTAGGAATTCCCGGAATTGAAGGGTGGCTGCTTATTTCCTTCCACCTCCCCACTCCAGCTGCCTGTCAACCTTATGCCTCCGTCACACCCTTTTCATCCCCAGGTTTTCGGGAGAGTGCTTTTTCCTTCTCCATGCTGGCGGCAGGGGTCATGCACGCGGTCGCCACGGCCTGCAGCCTGGGCAGGCTAGCGAGCTGCGGCTGTGGCTGGAAGGGCAGTGGTGAGCAGGACCGGCTGAGGGCCAAGCTGCTGCAGCTGCAGGCTCTGTCCCGGGGCAAGAGTTTCCCCCACTCCCTGCCCAGCCCTGGCCCCGGCTTAGGTCCCAGCCCCGGCCCCCAGGACACGTGGGAATGGGGTGGCTGTAACCAGGACATGGACTTTGGAGAGAAGTTCTCTCGGGATTTCTTGGATTCCAGGGAAGCTCCCCGGGACATCCAGGCAAGAATGCGAATCCACAACAACAGGGTGGGGCGACAGGTATGTGTGTGCAACTTGTCCTGAGTCTCCTTAGCTTTTGAGGCCTGACTAGAAAGGGAGAGGCACCACAGGCAGAAAAGAGGATGGGCCGCGGTGGGGGATGGCCGCTCACCCCTCTGGGTGACCTCAAGCAAGTCACTTAACCTCAGTTTTGCATCTGTAAAAAGAATCTAATGATACCCACCTTAACGATGTGATTAAGAGTGAGCTAGCAAATAGGGCACTGGGCAGAGTGCCTAGTCCTTGGCAGGTGCTCATTACAGGGTAGCTATTATCACAGCTGCCTTCCTACGGGAAGGGTGCTCATTTTTAGTGCTCGCTCTGGAAGGAGGACTGGATGGCGACTCAGGACAACTGGAGTTGAGTTCTGTTCACATCTAGCTGTCTAAGCTGAGTCTGTTCCCAGCTAGGGATTAAAATGGGCAAATCATTCTGCTCTGCCTTCAGTCCTCCAACCAGAAGATGAGGGAGTTGAGCTGTTAGCCAGCCCTGCAGTGCCCTTTCTCTTCTGATATTCCATGATCATTCTCGCCTCTATTTCTCCCTCCCTGTGCTCTCTGTTCCCTCCCCTCTGCTGTGCCCCGTGCCCTGCCCCTTTGCTGCCCTCCCCTTCACCTCTCCCACCCCACCCCCACCTCCACCCTCCGCGCTCTAGGTGGTAACTGAAAACCTGAAGCGGAAATGCAAGTGTCACGGCACATCGGGCAGCTGCCAGTTCAAGACCTGCTGGAGGGCAGCCCCAGAGTTCCGGGCGGTGGGGGCAGCGCTGAGGGAGCGGCTGGGTCGGGCCATCTTCATCGATACCCACAACCGCAACTCCGGAGCCTTCCAACCCCGCCTGCGTCCCCGTCGCCTTTCGGGAGAGCTGGTTTACTTTGAGAAGTCTCCCGACTTCTGTGAGCGAGACCCTGCTGTGGGCTCCCCCGGCACTCGGGGCCGGGCATGCAACAAGACCAGTCGTCTGCTGGACGGCTGCGGCAGCCTGTGCTGCGGCCGTGGGCACAATATGCTTCGGCAGACGCGAGTTGAGCGCTGTCATTGCCGCTTCCATTGGTGCTGCTACGTGCTGTGCGACGAGTGCAAGGTCACAGAGTGGGTCAACGTGTGTAAGTGAGGGGCGGCTTCACCGCAGGGCTGGCAGAGGGCAGGAGCGCCTTTTCAGCCTTTTGCTCCGATTTCTGGCCAGGGTCAATATCAGCTCCTGGAAGCTCAAAGCATCAGCCTGGAAGCAGCTCTGGGGGCGGTGGGGGTCAGGCAGAGTCTGTGACGTGCAGCCTTCTCCCCCACAGTAGGAGGGCCCCGGGCGGGAAAGCTGTCACCCCCTTCTTCTGCTCCTGAAACAGCTGAACTGAACGGAGACTACATGCACTGTATTGCCTCCCTCTCCCCAATCCTGGAGTCCCTTTAGCTCTGGTTCTTACTCCTTCTGGCTGGGGTGTCCTTGTAGTTTGACCACTCCTCTCCTTTGAGGAATAGCCCCAGGCATTGTGTGGAGCCATAGACCTGTATCGGGGATACCACTCCTTCCTATCTGCTGATCCCAAACTCCTCTACAGCAGCCTGGGCCCCTTCTTGTGAGGGAATAGGAGACAGTGGTAGAGAGGTTTTTCTTGGGGAAGGGACAGAGTGCTGGAGGGGGGCTCTCCCTTGAGTCCTCAGAGAGTTGTTTGTCTAGGCCCTTAGGAAAACTGTCTCCCCCAGGCAGATGTTAAAGGAAACCCTCTAAAGGAAGAGTTTTACCTAAGACTCTCTGAGCCTTTTATTTGTTCCTTAGCAGGAGGGATGGGAATGGATAATTTATTGTACTGAGACTTGTTCTTGGTTTCTGTCTGTAACGAAAATAAATTAAACTACTGGACCAGTGGTGGTTCTATTTCTGCCCACACTTGCGATCCGAGTCCATCGCTTCTTTTCCAGGTGAATTCTACCCTCATACACCCAATGACTTTATTTACATGTATCCTGCCTAGTTCCACAAAGGATTTGAAATGGTCCTCAGTGATTCAGTTGGCATCTCTCTCTGTGAAAAACCAGAGGGTACTTCGAGGTTGGGGGTGGGGGCTGGATATCCAAACATAGGCCCAATTTACTTTTTACGTGCTTCAACTCCAGACTTCACCTTGGTCCTTGCCCTAGAATGAGGGTTGGCATTTTTTCTTTTACCTGTAGAGGGCTTGATAGTGAGTAAACAGTTGACCCTTAAACAACATCCGGGGTTTGGGGGCGTCCCCACTACCTAAGCAGTCAAAAATCTGTATGTAACTTTTGAGTCTCCCAAAACGTAACTACTTATAGCCTACTGTTGACCTTACCAATAACAGAAACAGTCCCTTAACAGATTAACACATACTTTGTATGCCACGTGTTTTATATACTGTGTACTTACGAGAAAATAAATTAAAGAAAAGAAAATGTTATTAAAAATCATAAGGAAGGGGCACCTGGGTGGCTCAGTCAGTTGGGTGTCTGCCTTCACCTCGGGTCATCATCCCGGGGACCTGGGATCCAGCCTGGCATTGGGCTACCTGCTCGGTGGGAAACCTGCTTCTCCCTCCCTCACTTCCCCTGCTTGTGTTCCCTCTCTCGCTGTCAAATAAATAAATAAAATCTTTTTTAAAACATTTTTTTAAAGATTTTATTTATTTATTTGTCAGAGAGAGAGAGAGGGAGAGAGAGTGAGCACAGGCAGACAGAATGGCAGGCAGAGGCAGAGGGAGAAGCAGGATCCCTGAGGAGCAAGGAGCCCAATGTGGGACTCGATCCCAGGACTCTGGGATCATGACCTGAGCCGAAGGCAGCTGCTTAACTTACTGAGCCACCCAGGTTTCCCTAAATAAATAAAACCTTTAAAAAAAAATTTTTTAAATAAAAATCACAAGGAAGATGAAACACATTTACAGTAGTGTATGGTATTTAAAAATCTACGTATTAAGTGGACCTGCACAGTTCAAACCTGTGTCATTCAAGGGTCAGCTGTATTAAGCTTGTGGGGTTTGTTGCAACTACTCAACTCTGCCATAATTACTCAACTCTGTTGTTGTGAATCAGAAGTAGCCATAGACCACACATAAACAAATGGGTGTAGCTGTGTCCAATAAGGCTTAATTCACAGAACCCGATTTCAGGTGAGATTAGGTTCTCTGGCTGTACTTTGTTGACCCCTGCCTACAGCATGTGGTTACCTCTGCTCTGGAGATTTCAAGTCCTGAGCGGATCTCAACATTAAGCCTGGACCCAAAAGAGCAGGTGGTTTTCTTTATGGCTCCAAATCAGAGAACTTGGGAGGGGGATATAAGACTAATGGGACACATATAAAAGAGATTCCAGAGCTCAGAAAGGGAGTGTATTGCTCTGGAAACCAGCAAAACCAGCATGCTTTCCTACTGAATTATTTGCATATGTGTTTTGTCCTTCCTTATTCAGAGCTCTTTTGCATTTAATCTTAGCAAAATAATTCCTTTGTCTTTTAGGAGATAACCAAAATTAAAGAAAACAGATTTTTAAACAATTATAGTCTATTCCTACCCCAGTATCTTTAAAAAGCATTATCATTCAATTCAGAAAAGGGACAGGCATCACACATTCAGAACTTTACAAGTGACTAAATGTTTATGGGTTTGCGAGATGCTGCCTCTAACAGGTCATCTCTTTGGCCGTGGAATGTAGAAATGGTTTTCTCTATTTCTCTAGGCAATAGGTATATCTGCTACCCAAATTACCCTCAAAATCAGGTGATTTTGCTACTCAGGTGGCAAGGGCATTTTTGAGGAATGTTGGGTTAGGCCAGTATTTTATGGCATAATCTTATGTCCTGAATTTCCACTTAAGAGTCCTGGACTTGGAAATCTGATGGAAGCGGGAAGATATCTCATTCTTACTTCAGTCACTGACTAAGCCTGGTGTGTATGGGGCGGAGAGGGGATACAGCTAGAATGGGCAAAGGATGTGAGAGAGAATAATGATAAGGAACAACCAGAATGGGAATTTCTCATTTTTCCAATGGCATTACAGCAAGAATATTTCAGCTTTTTTCCTGTTTCCTTCCTCTGTATTCCCTTTGGCTCCCTCTCTTTCTAGCTTTCTTTTTCGTCAGACATACTCTGTGGCAAACTTAAGCCCCAAACCACAACCTTGAGAAATTCCAAATGGATTTTGTCAGCAAGGCCAACACCCCCCCACCCCTGCTCCCGGCACACGTGCTGGGCTCAGACCCAGGCCTGGGGTCAGTGACGAGAGTGGGAGTGTGCAACCCACAGAGCGGGTGCCTACAATTTCAGCTTTTACTTAGCTCCACTGACAGTCAGAGGGAGGGAGAAAGACTGATGAGGCCTCTAGGCCTCTTTCAGCTCTGGATGAGCTCTTTTCCCTTAGCCTTTCAAGTGGCTGGAAAGCTGGGGAGTGGCAGTGGTTGGCTTATTGCCAACTAGGCAGCACCTCTGCTATCTCTGCTCCTCTTCTTTGCTCAATGGAAAACACCCAGTGATGCTGGAGCAGACTCCAGACTCCAGACAGGTCAAAGACAGAAAGCCTGGGAGATTTTCATCAGTTATTTTATTTTATTTGAGAGAGTGAGTGAGCACAAGTAGGGGAAGGGATGGTGCAGAGGGAGAGGGAGAAGCAGACTCCTCACTGAGCAGGGAGCCTGACAGATGTAGGGCTCCATCCCAGGACCCTAGGATCATGACCAGAGCTGAAGGCAAACACTTAACTGACTGAGCCATCCTGGCACCCCTCATCCATCAGTTCTGACTCAAATGTCATGGTACTTGCTGCTAACCATATTAGGCTGTCACCATTTCCATCCTTCTGTAACACCTGAGACCCAACGCCAAGAGGATCTACAAGTCTTGGGCAGGAACATTGAATTCTTACCTCCTGTCAGATTTTCCAAAGGCATGTTGGCATGGTTGGGGCACTAGTGAAGGTGGGTGGTGCAAAACATAATTTTTTTTTGAGATTTTATTTATTTATTTATTTATTCATCAGAGCACACACAAGCAGGCAGAGTGGCAGGCAGAGGCAGAGAGAGAAGCAGGCTCCCTGTGGAGTAAGGAGCCTGATGCAGGACTCGATCCCAGGACTCTGGGATCATGGCCTGAGCCGAAGTCAGCCGCTTAACTGACTGAGCCACCCAGGCATCCTGCAAAGCATAATTTTGGTGGTTGGTGTAGGGGCATAACTTGGTGGGGTGAAAATTTTAGGAAAAGAAAGGGAAAGAGTACATGTGGAAGTATCCCAGGGCCTGATCCAATAGTTTGCAATAAAACTGAAGAAGTCTTCTGCCATTTACAACACAGAGTTTATCAGGGCAAAGCCTCTTAATAGCAACAGCCCAGGACATATACAACTCTGTTGTAAACATGCTCCTTGTTATCCAGATCTTCCCTCACCATCTTAAATTAGGGTCCTCTTGGCTTCACATTCTAGGGTGTAGTTATTCTCCACATTAAAATAAGAGAGAAAACAGACTGGGATAAGAGGAAGAGAGTGATGAATGTATACACCAGGGGTTGATGGGGGACAAGGGATAGACACAGTGTGGCTATCTACCAACCTGGTGGTTCTTCGTCTTCTTCTTCTTCTTTTTTTTAAAGATTTTATTCATTTATTTGGGAGAGAGAGACACAGTGAGAAAGGGAACACAAGCAGTGGGAGTGGGAGAGGGAGAAGCAGGCTTCTGGCTGAGCTGGGAGCCTGTTGGGCTGGATCCCAGGACCCTGGGATCATAACCTTAGCAGAAGGCAGATGCTTAATGACTGAGCCACCCAGGTGCCCCAAACCTGGTTCTTCTTGAAAGAGACAAGAAATAAGGCAAAAAACAAAAACAAAAACACCCAGAAAAAACAAAAACAAAAAAACAAAACCCAAAACCAAAACCAACAGCAAAAACCCAAAACAGAAAAGCAACAATTTTGGCTCAAGCCTTAGGGAGGAGCTATGTGTTCCCATACACTGAGGAGAGAGGCCACTTAAAAAAGAACCTTCTTCTTAGTATTACCAGTGCCTTTCTTCTATAATAGCAGAGACTGTTTCAAGGCAGTTCTGCATGTCTAGATCAGGTGCAGAAATGAGTGTAAGGAAAGTAGGGGCTGGGCAAGGGTGTAAAGACTTTATACAAGGGTGTAAAGTGTCTCATTTTCTTTGGGATACTAAAAGTCATAGTCATGTAGGTACACTCCCTCAAGCCACACCTCTGAATATTAGGTTTCCACCGTTTATCTTTCACTTTCCGACTTCCTAACTGGACCAGAATCCAGCTTTTCCCTTCAGTCTCTTATATTCATCACTCTCTCTCTCTTCTTCCCCATGGGAAATGATCTCCTGATTTAGACCCCTGAGTAACCTACCCTTAGCTTGGGAGGAGTGAGTAGCAACAGTGATGCAACGAGGGCTCTCATGCAGCTAGCCAGGGTTAAGAAATAAGCCTGTGGTCTGGAAGAACAGGGTAGGCCACAGCAAGGACTCTGCACTCATACCCTGCTCCTGGTTTTGCCTCTCCGCCCAGCCTCTTCCAGTGTGGCCAGCATGCAGCTCCAGTCCTTAAATTCCAGGCACGGTGCTGGAGCTTGGGATTCTCACCTCAGTGCCCACTGCCTCATCCCCACTTCCCGGTTCCCGCCTCCGCCGCCCGCAGCCTGCAGCCCCCACATCGCCCCCGCCCAGGATTTAGCTCCAGCACCCGGTTGCCTCTGCGGCAACCGCTGCCATGGTGATGGATCTCGCGAGAACTGCCACTCGCTACCGCGCAGTTCTCGCGCGATCGGGGAGGTGGGAAGTATCCCGGTCTGGGGGTGGGGGTGCGCCGCACAGCTCCCGTCGCCGTCGCGGCTTCCGGTGCTAGGTGGAGGAAAGGAAGGAGGGAGCTGGGGAGCGGGGCCAGGGGAGCAGCCTTGCCGAAATCGGCGTGGGGGAGTCGGAGGGAGCGGAACCAGTGCCGAGCGGAACCTGCGGGGGCGGAGGCGGTGGCTGTGGCGGCGGAGCTGGGAGCAGGAACAGGTGAGGGGCTGGGGAAGGAAGGCGGGTCCCCGTAGAGGAGAGGCTCGGGGTGGGGGCTGAAGAGACAGACGCCCCCCCCCCCGGCCCCCGGCACTGCCGGCCATGGAGCGGTGTGGTCTTTCCCACCCGAGAGCTCGCGGAGGGGGCGCCGGGCCAGTCTCTCGCCTGCCCCCACATTTGAAGGACGCGGAGCTGCGGTGGGGGTGGGGGGCGCACACAAATTTGTGCTCTGCCTCGCACGCGGGGGCGACCCGGGCTGCAGTTAGGTTCCCCTCGCCTGCAGGAGGTGGGCTTACGGGGGGTCGGGTTTGGGGTGGAGGAACAGTCCAGAGGGAGGTGATGCGGGGGCGGTGATGACTGTTTTGTATCGTTTTCCTGTTAAAGGGCTAGGGAATGCCGCTTTTTCCTATCCTCTCTCCTGCTCCACCTTAGTACTAGGAGACCAGAGCCTTGCTGCAGTGACACCCTGTACTCCCTTCAAGGGGCAGGAGTGCGTAGGGGGTTTAGGCATCAGTTTGCCAGGCAAGCTAGTGGGGTACCCCAGGGGCACTATTCCGGTAGAGGTTGCGCTTTGAGTCTTGGGAACTGCACGTTGGGAAGAGGGCAGCAGGTGGGGAGCGGGCGGAGGAGGGGGGGGGATCAGATCTTTGCTTGGAGAGCAGAGGTGGTGCCTTCCTGCCCCAGGCAAAGCGGGGGCGGTCTCACAGGAGGAGGGAGCAGCTTGTCGCTGGCTCTGAGTTTGTGTCTTCCAATCCACATTCTTCTTTAGGAAGTACCAGGATTCCCGGAACAGAAAATGGAGCCATTGCTTACACCAATGTTTGAGGGAAGGAGGGGGAGGTGGAGTTCCCTGTTAACCCGGGCCACTTGCATAGCAAAGTGATAGCTCCTCTTTTGGGGGAGTTCCCTTCTTTCTGGGTTTTATTACAGCCGGTCTTCCTCTGGTCAGGCCAGGAGGAGTGTGGTATGTGGTCAGGAATGAGAAGAAATAGTGAGGTCATCCAGTTGAGGGAGAAGCGTAACTCAAAACCTACCTCAGTGCTGTTGGATTGGGTCACCCCTGGTCTATGGCATGAAAGTTTTATGGCTAGGAGATCTGCTGCAGGAGTCTGATTGCTTGGTAAGTGTAACAGGAAAGAATCTAGTCTCTGTATACTTTTCTCCACTGGCCTTAATCAGGTGGTGACCATCTTTGCTGCCATTTTGTCTTGAGCTTCTCGGGGTAAGTGTCTCCACTTAATATGACTGAAGTGGAGCAGTGAATTGGGTTTTGCCCATTAGACCTGAGTTTGAATAACATGTCTCTGAAAGCTCATTTTAAGGAAGAAACTGATCCACAGAGGTCACCTTTTCACAGAATGAATCATTGACCTTGGATTTAGCTGGGAAGGGCCCCCTGTGTATCACACATTTACATGCTTCCTGCCTCCCAGCATAGAAGAATTACTTATTATTATTACTTTAAAGATTTTATTTGTTAGAAAGAGAGAAAGCATGAGCAGGGGTAGAGACAGAGGGAGAAGCAGGTTCCCTGCTGAGCAGAGTGTCTGATGCAGGGCTTGATCTCAGGACCCTGGGATCATGACCTGAGCCGAAGGCAGCCAGTTAACCAACTGAGCCACCCAGGCGCCCCACAGCATAGAATTATTACCTTGCATCATCAAAAATTTTATGTGTAAGTCTTGTTTTTCCAAGAGGTGAGACACTTTGATTGGAGGGATTGGATTTTATGTTGTATCTCCCACAGTGCCTAACACGAACAGTAGGCCCTCAGGATGAATACAGGATGTGGATGGAGAGAACCCAACGAGCTTTTGGATTAAAGTTTAAGGAAAGAGAAAAAGGTGATTTGGCTGTCAGGGAGAATACCTGGAGATAGCTGAGTGAGGGTACAAAGGCCCTTAGGCATTGTAATTAAGAAATCTTGGTCTCTCCACCTTTCTAAGAGGCACAGTACAGACATGGATAATGGAAACTAAGACCCATAAAGAAAAATATTAGTAGAACACAAAGTCATTATTTATCTGAAATCCCAGATCTCCTGCTTCCCCATCATGGGCAAAGGGTTCTCCATCAGATGTTAAGTCCTTCAGAGTATTGTCAAAATTGAAATTGTGGAGATGACGGAGGAGAGAGCCAATGTATGTATGTAGTGCCTGGCACAGAACTGGTGCCAGTGAATGGTAGCTGCTATTATTAAACTGAATGTAATATAAAGGAGGGGTGACAGCAGGCTGGAAAGAGTGGAAGTGAAGTCTCAAGTGCACAGAGGATCATATTGTGTGTGTTCATTTTTGCTGCTCTCTTTTGCCCTGGAGTCATAATAAGAGGAAATGGACTCAGAGGGTAGTGGGTGGGATTTGTTGCTTGAAGGAGGAACTTCTTTAAAACCAGGTTTGTTAAAGCTGAGTAAATAACAGGGAAATTGTGGAATCTGCTTCCCCATACACCTTTAAGAATGGATGCCAAGCAGCCCAAGACTCAAAGCATATCACCGTTTTTGGCTCTCCTCAGCATTTTTGTTGTGGGTCAGTTTAGAGGCAATATGTTGTGGTTTTTCAGAGGTGGACCTTGGAATCAGACAAAATTGGGTTCACATCCTGCCTCTGCTAATTACTAGTTTTATGAGTTTGGTGAAATTACTTGTCCTCCCTTAGCTTCATTTTCCTCATCAGTAAAGAACATGATAATGATAGTGCCTACTTCATAGTATTGGCATGTGAATTAAATGAGATAATCTATGTAAAGTGCTTAGTACCATACAAAGCACATAGTAAGCCCCAAATAAATGTTAGTTGCTATTAATAATCTTCATCATAATAGTAATAATAATATGAGCACTCAGGGCTGCCTTAAAGGAGAGGAGGTTGACAGAAGAATAACTTGCCGCCTGTGTAGAGGGATGATTGTTACCATGACTTTCTTTGCTGGTCGTAGGCTTATGAGCAATGAAATCTTTTTTCAGCATCAGCTTCACAGAGGCAGCTCCTGCTGCCTGAGTGGGAGGTGAAGCTGGAGCAAGGCAGGGGCCCTGAACCATCAACTTGGATGCAGGGTAAGGACGTGGGGGCTCGAGAATAGTGTTCATGTTAGAAAGTCAGCATGAGGGCTGCTGCCTGGGTGACTCAGGGTTAAGCCTCTGCCTTTGGCTCGGGTCATGATCTCAGGGTCCTGGGATCGAGCCCCACTTTGGGCTCTCTGCCCAGCGGGGAGCCTTCTTTGCCCTCTCTCTCTGCCTGCCTCTCTGCCTACTTGTGATCTCTCTCTCTCTCTGTCAAATAAATAAATAAAATCTTAAAAAAAAAAAAGGAAAGTCAGCATGATTGAAGTAATGGTTGACTCTTTAGTACAAGAGCACTCTAATTAACCTAGGTTAGGGATTTAAATTCCTGGGTCCCTTTACCTTAGGTCTCACTCAGTATTTCAGCATCCTCCATTTCCTGGGCCACTCTTTTCATTTAGTCATATCTCCTTTAAATGTCTGCCTCTGAGTATGTTTCAGAATGTACTGTATTAAGGCCCAGAGTTGTGATGACTGTGTAATTCTATCTGCTATACCTTTTCAGCATCTGTCACAAATACAGGTAGAGTGCTAGGAAAGCTTTTTTTTTTTTTTTTTAAACATATAATATATTTTTATCCCCAGGGGTACAGGTCTGTGAATTGCCAGGTTTACACATTTCACAGCACTCACCATAGCACATACCCTCCCCAATGTCCATAACGCCACCCCCCTCCTCCCAACCCCCCTTCCCCCATCAACCCTCAGTTTGTTTTGTGAGATTAAGTAGGAAAGCTTTTTGATACTGAAAAGACGTGGGGAGCATTCGGAAGTTCCACAGATGTTTGAAGGCTTGCATTATAGTCTGGGAAAGACCTGATTGAGGTAGGGATTCCATGAACGTTTTAGAGCTTTGCATAGGACTTTTACAAAGGATCTGCTGTGCCATATGGACCAGAAGGGACATGGCTTGGGATTTCATGGATCCACCGTTATCATTATCACCATATTCCTGAAGAAAGGTGAGATGACTGGGTGTAGCAGATTTCATCCTACACTTTAGCTCTTCCATTACTGATGAGAGCTTGGTATAACCCTTCCTTTATGAGCTTTTACACTAGAGCATCAGGCATGGATGTTTAAACTTTAGCATGATTTAGGATGCAGGAGAACATCTGCTCTTTGTTGTAGTGGTTTTTAACCCCCCTCTAACTCTTCTGTTAAAAGCAATTAAACCTTACCTTATATAAAGTCTTATTTGAAGTCTGATATGTTACGTGGATAAAAATGGGCTGCTCTGGTGGTGGTGTAGAGGGGAGGAGCATAATTAGAGCCTCTTATATAGTACCCCCATCCCCAAGCCTATGAATCCCATCTAAGGAACCCTAGAGCTATGAGAACATAGCAACCATTTCTCGAGTTTGTCAGATACAAGAAAAGGATCAGGGATCACCTATAGAACACTGTCTTCCTCAAGCTCAGAAATATTTTACCACCATCAGTAGAACCATACTCCTCAAAAGCAAACATGTTAGTCACTAGCTACAGATTAGTCATGGTGCTGGGGACATGAAACATGAATAAGGCTTGGTCCCTGCTGACAAGGGGCTCATAGTTTAGTGAAGTAATTCCTCAACCTTTTGTCATCATGGCATAAACAGAAAATGGTAATAGTGAGACAGACCTAGTTCTTGCAGCCTGAGATGACTGGCCCTTGAGCCGTAGCCACCTTAAGCCCTGCCTAGCCATCCAGTACTGATGGGATGTATGACAGACCTGTAATGCATTAAAGGCACATTATTTGGGAACTTTTAGCTCTGGAAAGCAAAACAGACAAATATGAATAAAACATACTAAATCCTAGAGTAGGAGTGTTTGAGGTGCTAAGGGGTAATCAGTAACTGTTATTCCCCAAGCTAGTCAGTTTCCTGTTTTCTGAATCTTTAGATTGCTCTGTAATGGTGGGCCTTGTCTAAACCATAGCGTCCTCTATCATCTG